GAAGCAATGGAAAGGCCGGCATGCTCCCAGCCGCCAGCCTGACCGCCAGAGTGGGCATTTCACACTATGATGAGAGGCGGAGGGAGGCCAGTGAGAGGAACTCGTGTGGTGCGACACACATCGATGGTCACAGGGACAAAGCCCAGCATGCACAGTACCATGGGGGCAAGACTCATAGGCACAGCAATGACACGTATGCCCTACAGATCGACACAGACAGGTCGACATGCGTGGTAAAGCACACGGATACAGCCCTTCCTGGGGTGGTCAGACACCCAGTGGATAAGAGTTCTACAGGGACACACCACAGTGGTACTGGAACACAAAGACCACCTCAGCCACCCGACACACACAGTGACACACACCCCGTCACCTAAATACATGGAGATGGAGCTTGGGGTGACCCTCAGACAGGCAGCACCCAGCAATGGACACTCAGAGACACGGAGACACTTGAAAAGGGGACCTGCACAGACACACGCGGCCACATGGCTGTCCACGAGAAAATGGGGGCTCTGAGGCCCAAGATGCCGATGAACACGCTCAGATCTGGGAGAAGCAGGTAGCCACTCACAGTCTCCACGTTCAGAGCTTTGGGAGCGGGAAAGTGAAGGCCTCCCTCTACGCCCACCCAGCTGGAGCCCTGTCCTCAGCGCTGAGCTGGAGGGAGGCACAGACATCCCAGACTCCTCTCCTCTCTTGGTCCAGCTGGAGGAAAACGCAAGACCCCAAGTTCTTCGTGCTTCCAGAGCAGCGGGCAGGGACCAAGCAGATAAAAGGCTGGGCTCCCAGGGAAGGCCAGTGGTCAGACACTGAGCACCAGGGGGATTTTGCCACAGCCACGGCTGCACACCCACCCTGCACACACCCAGGATACCCACCGGACCCTGACAAGCGCTCACACAGGGTCCCACACGTGCGTCCTGAACTCATGGTGCACCCAGATGACGAGGCCCAGGTGCAAATGCAGAGAGGACCCTGGAGCTATAAAGGTGCCCCTGAAGCCACCATCAGGACCCACCCTCAGCTCCGGGCTCTTCGCCCTTTGCCCCATTCATATCTGTGTGCATACACACTCCTGCACACTCCGGCCCAAGGCCCAAGAAACCGGACGCAAAGTGGACCTGGTGATGACGAGGGTCAAGATTAGGGAAAGGGCGAAGGCAACCAGAGCCCCCCCAAGAAAGGCATCCGGTCTCCAGCGGCCCTGTCTCTTCTCTCCTGCCCCCTGCTCCCCACCACCCCTGCCTTGGACCCCTGCGGCCCTCTGCTTGGTAAACAAATGACCACAAGTCATCCTGTCCCTTGAGCCTCTGCTATGTGTCTGAGCCTAATCACAGCCTGAAATGCAGGCACTATTATTGCCCAGTTTATAGACCAGGAAAATCCTGTGCTTCAGGTCACAGCATTAGAAGATACAGAGCTAGAGCTCAAACCCTGTGCTCTTACGGTACAGCCCAGCTCTCACCCTCGGCTCCGTCTTCCATCTGGGAACCCTGGAGTCTACACAAGACATTCCTAGCTGGGCCAGGACCCCCGGCTCCAGCTCCCAGGGAGAGGGAAGCACCCTACCCGCTACGTTCCTCCAGCAGAGCCCTCAGCTCCGAGCTCGGCCCAGCCTCAAAACATCTCATGGAGCCCAACCCAAGTCCAAGAGCAGCCTACCCCATCCCAGTTCGTGCTGCACACACCTCCCACCCCAGCTGTGGGCATTAAGCAGGCAGGGCCACTGCCGAGAGAAAAATGTGCATATAAAGGAGGCTCCACGTGGGTTCGGCACGGGGAGCCACAGCTTCATAGGGACAGAGAGGTGGCCACAGTGACCCAGGGAAAGAGCTGAGCGAGACCCCCTCCCACCCCCGTCCCCTGGAATGGCTGTGCATGGCTTCACGGAAATCAGGGTACAAAAGCACCCCATTGCTCGTGTGGCCATGTGGCACGGAATGTCGGCAAGCGTGCATGTCTGAGAGCATGTGCCTATCTGTGTACACACCTGGGTGAGCCAACAGCATTGTGGAAAAGCGTCCCTCTATCCGTCCGTCCGTCCGTCCTTGAGTCTGTGTGAGCAAGCGTGGGGGTGAAAACATACCCGCGTCGGTTTGTATCCGAGTGTGGCTGGGAAGTATTGTCGTGTGTCCGTGAGCCGATATCGATACACACGTCTCATTTTAAAGGATGTGTGTGTGCGCGTGTGTGTGTGTTTACGCGCGTTGGGTGGGGAGGGAACGCAGGTCCCCGTCTCCTGTGTCCATAGAGTTACCAATGGCCCTGTGTCTGGACATCAACGTGAGCAGGTCATGCATACCGCCAGCTTGGTGGCGGCGGCAGTGTGTGTGTGTGTCTACATTCTGGTGTACGTCTGTGTATCTGGAGGGGGAGTCCCGTCCATCTGGCCCCTCCACTGAGGACTCGGGTCTGCAGCTGTAGTGGGCTCCAGCAGCTCCAGCAAGCGCCCCGCCCAGCCGCCCTGGATTTCGATGCTTTTTCCAGAAGGAGATTTCCACCCCCTTCCCCCTCGCCCACAGTGCCTTCCCCCCGCCAGGGCCCCGCTGCTCCAAGCTCGTTCCTGCTCAATCATTTATTGACTTTAAAATCGAAGCCAATTCTGGTTTGAAAAAAGAAAAGGGAGAGAGAGAGAGAGAGGGAGAGATGGAGGCCAGAGAGAGACAGAGAGTCCGAGATGTGTGGAGGAGGGGGGAGCAGATTCAGAGACAGACAGGGAGAGACAGGGACAGTCAAAGATACAGGATAGAGACGGGGACAGAGACAAAGAGAGAGAGGATGAGAGAGAGAGGATCAGGGGGGGCTATCAGAGCAAACTATGAAAGCAGAAAATTTTGTAAAAACAGACTCTGGATCCAAGAGATGTCGCTCTCAGGAAGGACAGACTGCTGACCCGCAGACTGCAGCCGCCCGCCCAGCCACCCCGGCACACTCGCAGCCTGGGCCTGTGGCGGAGCCGAGTCCTCGCTCCCTTCTGGAGGGTCACAGAGTGAAGCCCTAGCCATCCCCCCGCGCCTGGGGGCTGCCCCAGCCCCTTCCTAGTCTTGGCACAGTGGACCGGCTGGCATTTTCTTTCCCAGGGCACTGTGACATCTGAGGGCCTAAACTCTCACCCAGGCCTCAGGGGCAGGCCAGGAAGCTGGGCTGGCAGCAGGTGGGCAAGAAGCTGCTCCCGTGTGGCGTCTTGGTCCCACCAGGCCCTACACACCAGCCAAGCAGGCCTCCCAAGCATAGCCCCAAAGGCAGCCACGGCTCAAACCCAGCTAGGTGGACAGGAACGTCGTGTGGAAGCCCAAGATGGGGTGACTGGCCAGTCAGAGGCACAGATGTAGGGGGTCCCCAAGTTGCTACAGTGGTCAGAGTGCCTGCTCACACCTGCACTCACACTGTGATACACATGTGTAAACATGCACCTCACGAATACATACTCACACCTGTACAGGAAAACCTGCTCCCTGGGCCCCCACACACATCCATGCCACACAGGCCTGCCAACGGCCAGCCCACTGGAGCCACACACAGACTGAGATCAACTGAGTCAGCCTCTCTCTCTCTCTCTCTCTCTCTCTCTCTCTCTCTCTCTCACACACACACACACACACACACACACACACACACACTTGCATCTGTAGATACAAGAGTGGGGTGGCCATGGCTGACACTCATCCCAGACATACCCTCTTGCCCCTTGCAACACGCCAGGCCCACTAGCGGCCATATTCACGTGGACTCCCGCTCCCAGCTGTGGGCACACTTGGCACATGGCTGACAAGGCTCAGACTGGCAGAGGGAACACTGGGGACTCCAGGCCTGGCCTAGAGATTCCCCACAGACGCAGGTCCCGCTGAGAGTCACCGCTGGGCAGACCCCAGGCGTCCCGGCTGCAGAGCCTGTGTGGCCAGCCTAGGCCTGGCCCTGCAGGCAGCGCGGCCAAGGCCGCTGCGGGACTCTGGTCAGCTCCCGTGCCCTCTGCGAGCCTGGGGAGGGGCGGCAGGGCAGGCACCCAGGAGCCTTTGCCTCCGCCAAGCGCTGCTCAGGGAACTTCGCTGGAGGCGGGACGCGGTCTGCAGCGCGCCAAGGTCGGCGCTGTTTTGCTCCGGGTTGGCCCGACGCGTGGTCGCAGCACTGTCGGGGCGTCCACGGCTGCCTCCCGCCCTCCCGCCTCTGGGTGGCGGGACGGTATTCCCCCGGCCCGCCCGGTCCGGCGCGCGGCAGCCCGGGAAGCGGGGACCGGAAAGTTTGCGCCGAGGAAAGTTTGGAGGGGGGCCCGCAGCGGCGTCGTCCAGGGTCGGCGGAGAGGCGCGGCCCAGGCTGGCAGCAGGCCCATCCCTCCCTCCCCTCCTCTTCCCTCCTCTGCCCCTCCGAAATTTGGGAGCCCCGCCATTTTCTTAGCCCCGCTCCCATGTGAGGCCTGAACAAAGACTTTGGGGAGACGCCCGGGCCGCCCGGCCCGCCCTGGGCACCCCGGCCGCACACAGGGGCCGCTGCCACGCACGCCGGCCGCTGCCACCCTCGGGAAACGCTGCGCCCGCCCCTGGGAGCAACACCGGACCGGGTCCCGGCTCTGCGCCCTCGGGGTCACCCTCTGCCACTCTCTCACCCCCGCAAACACTGCCAGAGGCCATGCCGGGCGGGTGCAGCCACCGTGGCCCACAGATCGGCGGGAGTCCCGTTGCCCACCGCACCCCAGCCGAGCGCGCGCGCACGCACACACACACACACACTCACTCGCACTCCCGCTCCGGGCAGCGCCACGCACGCAGCCGGCCACCCCGGGAGACCCCCGTCGGGGTCTGCCAGGGGCCAGGGTCGTCGGCGCACGGGGGCGCCAGCACGCGTTCCCGGATTCCCCAAAGCACGACTTGCACCCCTCCGCCGCCCGCGGGCTCACTCCCCCGGCTGCCGCGCGCCCCCTCCGCCCGCTCGCCCCGCCTGCGCCGCGGGGCAGCCTCCTGCGCCCGCTTCCCTCCCCGGTCGCGCGGGGCGGCGGCCGGTACCTGGGTGAGGCAGTACGGGGAGTACATAGCTGAGCGCCCGGGCGAGAGCGCGGCGGCTGGCCGCGGCGAGGGGAGGCCCGGCCGGCGGCGGCCGCGCTCGGGCTCCGACTCGGCTCCTCCGGCCTCCGCCGCGCGGCGCCCGCCCGGCCCGCGGCCCCGCGCTCGCCGCTCGCAGGCTCGGCCCCGCCGGCTCCGGGGCCGCCGCCGCGTTTGCCGCTGCCTCTCGCGTCCGCCGCCGCCGCCGCCGCTGCCGCTGCCGCGCGTCTACTCCATGCCGCCGCCGCTCGGCCGGTCGCCCTCGCCCGCTGCCGCCGCCGCCGCCGCTGCCGCCGCCGCCGCGCTGTGAAAGTGAAAGTTTAGACAAAGTTTGGAAGCGGCGCACTCCGGGGAGAGGGAGCTGGCGGGCGGGCGGGAGGAGGGGCGCGGGGAGGGGCAGGCGGGCGGGAGCGGCGGCAGGCGCTCACACACACACACACACACACACACACACACACACACGCACAAGCGCACACATGCACGCATGCACACGCGCGGGGGCGCACACCGTCACGGCCACCCCGACACGTGCTGGCCCGCGTTCCAACGCAGACACACGCTGGTACACAGCGGGGCTCGGACCCCTCCACACATGTCACGTACAGAACATATTGCCACACGTTTCACGTTCGGACAACAAAGCACACACAGCGTGGGCACATACCCGGGCACACATTCCACACCTGCACACACACACACACACACACACACACACACCAGGTCAGAAAACCAATCCATGATCCATACGCTGATATGCACACAGGACCCCCATCACAGGATGATACGGGCACCCACGCATTCCAACAAGGAACCATGTTTAGACACTGAGATACAGACAGATACACACCAACATGGGCCTCACACAGATACACAATAAGACATACACACAGCAGGGCCTGCTGACATGTACAGATTCACGCTGACACACAGACACAGGCATGATCACACAACCACACCTTGACATGCTCCAGGCAGTCAACTCCTACACATGGACACAACACAAACGCAAAGCCGCACCAAAATATCTTGGTAGTTGTGACACAGAGGACACACCCAGGTGCACAGAATGACACTGATAAAAGGGAGACGCACGAACACACCTCACACAAACACACACCATCAGCTACCTGGACATACATCCAAACAACACCAGGAGAGCACCGAGATACAAAGTGACACTGGCAGCCACAGCAACACACACACACACCACACACCTGGAGCCCAGCTATGCCCTGGGCCTCGGGCACATGGAACAACAGTTTTTTTTTGTTGTTTTTTTTTTTAATAAATATATTTTATTGATTTTTCACAGAGAGGAAGGGAGAGAGATAGAAAGTTAGAAACATCGATGAGAGAGAAGCATCGATCAGCTGCCTCCTGCACATCTCCCACTGGGGACGTGCCCGCAACCCAGGTACATGCCCTTGACCGGAATCGAACCTGGGACCCTTCAGTCCGCAGGCCGACGCTCTATCCACTGAGCCAAACCGGTTTTGGCGGAACAACAGTTTTGATACTCAGTCAACTAGTAATCCCCCTCATGGTATCACCAAGTCATGCACACAGGTGCCACACACATGCACCCAGGCCCCTCCCACACACAGCAAGCACATATACTCACTCATCCTTGGCTCTGATCATGGACATACACAGGTCTAGCAGAGGCTGCACAGCCCAACCTCCAGGGATAGAAAAAGGCATGAAGGCCTCAAGTCCATGTGCACACCCTCCCTGGTGAGGCTGTAGTCCCTCAGGTAGGCCCCTGACCCCCCATTTCCAACGCAGAAATGACCTGGGGTGAGATGGTGCTGGGGGCCCTGGTGTGGGTGCATGGGGAGCCCTTGGGTGACCCCCGTGGTGGGCGGGGAGGTGGTGCCACAGCCCCCAGGCAGCTCCTGCCGGGACAAAGCTCCCTCCTGCTGCCAGGTGCAGCCAGCACCTTCTTGCCCTCCTGGGCCAAGAAGCTGTAGCAATGCTCAGCTATGCATTGTCTGTCGGAGGGGTGTTGGTGCCCAGGTGTGTGGGGGTGCAGGTGTGTGAGTGTAAAAATATCCCCGAGGGGGAGTGCTCCTGCTCACACGAGACCATTGAGGCAGGGTGGCCGCAGCGTCCTCAGGTGTCTGGGTGGGTCTGGGTGTCCTCTGGGGGGAAGAGACGCTGGTCAGTGGACATTCAGGAGTCCCTTTGTGTGGCCCGGTGTTGTGTGGTGGTGATGTGGGTCTGGCTGTGTGCCTGGGAGATGTCTGTGAGTCAGAGAGGGTGAGCATCTGTCAGGCCCTGTGCCAGGCACTGGGGACAGAGTGAGGACCAAGACAAAAGACCTGGCCCTGGGAGGCTGACATTCTAGTGAGAGTCAAGTGTAGCCGGGGTCTGGGTTTGACAGGAAGTCCTGGTGATGGGGGCGCCCGGTGAGCATGTGTGTTTCAAGCTGAGCGCCGTGTGTGTCAGCTCTGGGGGTCTTTCTGTCAGAAGGTGTCCGTGTGTGTGGCAAACCTGTGTATGTGTGGGTCTCTCTGTGTGTCCTAGAGTGTATGTGGCCGAGGGGGCAAGTAAGTGTGCGAGGGTCGCAGTGGATCTGTCTGCGTTCAGGGACTGTGTTGCAGACGTGTCTGTGGGTCACTAGAAGTGTTTCTGTCTGTGGGGTGATCCCTGTGGGTCTGGGGCAGTGATGAGGATCTGTGTGGGCACGGGTTCGTGTGTGTCAGGGAGAGGGGCTCTGTCTTTGTCAGGGAGCCCGTCTGTACAGCCTGAATTGGTGTGCGTGTGCTTGTATGACAGGAAGGGGTCTCTGTGTGCCTGGGGGGGGGGGGGTCTGGGTATGTGCGTGTCCGTCATTCCGTGCTCGAGGAGCTCTTTCCTGGATCCCGTGGTCCAACACAGCCTCCTGTCCTGCGCCACTGATGCAAGGCCTTGGCGGAGGGAATTGATACGTCCTTAAAAATTCAAGGGCTTCTAGTAAACAGAAACTTTTAACACCGTTTAAAGTTTCAGGGCCACCGCTGCTGCCGCGCTCCCTGCGCTCCCTGCGGGAGGAGAGCAAGGGGGAGGGGGCACAGGCGGATTGAGGGGGGCACCGAGGGGAAGGGGCAGGGCTACATGGGAGGCAGGGGAAGGGTGCAGGCCGGGGACTGGAGACTGAGGGGCTGAGGGGAGGGGTTTGGGGATTAAGGGGGATGGGGATCTGGATGTCTCAGGAAAGAGGCGGGGGGTAGGGGCTAGGTTAGGGAGTGGGGGGAGGGGAAGGGAGCAGGGAAAGGCAGGGGTTGGGTATAAAAGGGTCTGGAGCCTTTGAGGAGGCCCAGGAGAAGCTGGAATGTCTGGGGGAAGGTGCTGGGGATATGAGAGCCCAGAATGGGGTTGGGGACCCCAGGGGGAACTTGGATGGCCAAGGGAAGGGGCAGAGATGGGTGTGGGATGGGTATGGGGCCCGAGTGAAGGGTCACTGGAGCAGTGTGGGCCTGTTGGGGGCTTGATGGGAAACAGTGGCGGGGGGGGGGGGGGGGGAATGGAGGCGTTTGGGGTGTCTGGGACTTTAATGTTGTTAAGGGCTTAGGGGCAGACCCCAAGCCTTCCTTGGCCCCCTGCTAACAGCCACTAAGCAGGCACAGGGCTCCGAAGACCCCCACCTTGGGCCCAGTCCTGGCCCCACCTGCCTCCCTGTCCTCTCAGCCCTGCCCACCAGCCATGCCAGACCCTGAGGGCTGCCTTCATCGCCCTCCCAATCCTGCATCTGGCCCCAAACCTGGGCTCTGCTTAAAGCCATATCCCATTCCCATTTCACACACTCATACCACACGTCCACTTGCACACACACACACACACTCCTTCATTCACACACACACACCCCACAATATTCAACCCTCTATTCTTAGACACACAGGACACCCATCCTTTCACTCAGCACACACAAATACAACATCCACACGTACACACACAGGATACCCATATTTCCATTCTAACAGACACACACAACACCCATTGTTCCATTTACACACACACACAATCATACAACATCCAATACACACATAGGACACCCATCCTTCCTTTCATACACACACACAGCATCTATACACACACAAGACATTTATCTTCCACTCCAATAGACAGATACACACACACAACATCCATTCCTCCTTTAAGAATCACACACAACATGCAGACACACACACAGGCCATCCATCCTTCCATTCATACAACACCCATCCTTTCTTTCACACACAGCTTCACACCACAAAACCCTCCCTGTATGCACACACACACACTCTTCCTCACATACCACATCCACCCATATAAACACAAACAAAACACTTGTCCATGTTCATTCACATATCTGCACTCAGAATTCTCTCCATACACTCAGACCCCCCGCTATACCCACAGCACTCCACACACACACATCTGCTCTGCTCCCCCCTCCACAGCTGCCACGGGGGAGAATTTTTACAAGGAGGCAGAGGGGCTGCTCTGGAGGATACCCAAGCTTCTCCATCCCCTTCCCCCCAGAAGCCAGGTCTTAGGACACACCCCATTGAGAAATCATGGGGGAGGAGGGCACTGCCATGGGGCTGGGCACGTTGGGGTGGCACAGCTGGGATCCCCCGCATTCCTCCATGCAGGGCTGCCACCTGGCTAGGCTGGCAGCAGGTGTGTCTTCCAATGCAGGTGTGTGGGGGGAGGGGGAGAGAGGAGGAGGAAGAACCAGCCTATGGCACTCCCTGGCCAGGATGCGGGGGATGGGGGGCACTGAAACATCTGGGCTCTGGCAGCCAATGTCCTGGGCCACTGAAAGTGGGGGTCAGGCATTGCTGTGCTCTAGGTCAGCTGGGCAGGCCTCAGGGGAGGTGGCAAGCATCTGGCACACAGGATAATTGAAGAGCCAGGCCAGGGGAAGGAGAGTTGAGGGATGATGGGGAGACAGGTGCTCTAGGGCCCTCCTGGCAGGACCGGGATCCCCACTTCCCAAGAGGGCTCAATGCCTCTCCTGACCAAACTGTCTAGGACCCCAGGTCTGGTCTGGGGTCCTAGATAGCCTTTGTCTCGCTGCCCCAACCCCGGCTGGGAGTCCCTAGTGGGATCTGAGCCAGAGGAATTATAGTCCTCACTCCCAAGGCACACCTAGCCGGG